ATTATGGATGCACTCAAGCTTTGAATTCCTATTTTCCATTCCTTTTAGTGTATACCTAGAAATAGAAATACTAGATGAAATTGTATTTCTGTGTTTGATATTTGAAGAATCACAATATCATTTTTGCACAAGGTCTATACTGTTGTACATTTTCATCACCACATAAAAATGCTAATGTTTTTACATCATTTCTGATTCATTCTGCTTTCTCTTCCCTCCCTTCTTCCTTCTCTTCTTTTCCCTTTCTTCCTCCATCCCTCCGTCTTCTCCCTCCTTTCCTCTGTCCTTCTCTCCCAACCTTCCTTTCTTCCTCCCTTCCTTTCCTTACTCCCTGTGAGGGCTGGGCAGTAAGGAATATACTGACTGCTATTACACGGCATAGATTTATGTCAGCACTCAACCATTGCTTTTTTTGTAGGGGGGTGGTAGGAGGGGCTTGAACTCTGGGCCTGGAGGCTGTCCCTCAACTCTTCAGCTCAAGGTGAGTGCTCTACCACTTGAGCCACAGCTCCAAGTCTGGTTTTCTGGTGGTTTATTGGAGATAAGAATCTCGTGGAGTTTCCTGTCTGGGCAGGCTTTGAACTGCGATCCTCAGATCTCAGCGCCTTCGGCGCTAGTATTACAGGCGTAAGCCACCGGCGCCTGGTTAACTGCTGCTTTTTGTAGCATTGGTACAAATGTGAACACAGTGGAAAAGGGAAATATTAATCTTGGTATTTATTTTAAAATACTTTTGACCTAATGGATCTCCTAAAAGGGTTTCAGCAACCTCCAGTAGCATTCAGATTACATTTTGGAAAACTTTAAAATACAAAAACCACAGTTATGGGTCAACACTGGTTAGCTATTCAAGAAGCTCAGATCTAAAATTGTGGTTTGAAACTAGCCTGGGCAGGAAAGTTCATGAGACTCTTACCTCCAATTTACCACCAAAAAGTCATGAGTGTAGCTGAGGCTCAAATAGCAGACCTCTAGCTTTGAGCACAAAAAAAAAAAAAGCTCAGAGGCAGTGTCCAGGCCCTGAGTTCAAACCCCAGAAACAGCAAAAATAGAAAAAAACACAATTGTGGTTGAAAACATGACATGGCAAGTGTTGCCAATTTTATTGTTTTGTTTGCTTGTTTGTTTTCGTCGGTCATAGGGCTTAAACTCTGAGCCTGGGCGCGGTCCCTCAGCTCTTCAGCTCAAGGCTAGCACTCTACCACTTGAGTCACAGCACCACTTCCGGTTTTCTGGTGGTTTATTGGAGATAAGAGTCTCATTGACTGTCCTGCCTGGGCTAGCTTTGAACCGTGATCCTCAGATGTCAGCCCTTCTTTATGGAGAACCTCCCTTATCTTCTTCATGGAGAACTTACCTTCATACAGTAGGTGGCCTGTCAAAACAGCCTAGCTTTTTTTGGTGAGTAGGAGTCAGCAATTGGGTGGTAGAGGATGAGGCTTGGACTTGTAAGAGAATGGCACAGCCAAAGATAAAAAGAAACTCCGAGTGAAGGGATGGAAAAAGATCTTCCATGCAAATGCACCTTGTAAGAAGGCTGGAGTAGCCATTTTGATATCAGGTAAAATGGACTTCTCATTAAAATCAATACCAAAAGACAAGGAAGGTCGTTACATATTAATAAAGGGAATGATCCATGAAGAGGAAATCACGGATCAATATCTATGAACCAAACAGTGGAGCATCTAAATAGCTTAAACAAATGTTCTTGGACTTACAGAACAAAACTCAAACACATTAATAGTGGGAGATTTTAACACCTCACTCTCACAAAGGACAGGTCAACCAAACAAAAAATAAGCAAAGAAGTCTCTGAATTAAATAACATAATAACCAAATGGACTTAGCAGATATCTACAGAGTTTTACACTCAACAATAACCCAATACACATTCTTCTCAGCAGCTCATGGAACATTCTCCAAAATAGATCATATTGGATATCATAGTTGACACAAAGAACCTAAGAAAATACAGGAGGATTTACATAATCCCTTGCACCCTGTCTGACCACAGCAGAATTACTCAAATACATGGAGGATGAACAGCACACTACTGAATAACACCAGAAGAAATTAAGGAAGAAATTAGAAAGTTCTTTTTTTTATTTTTATTTTTTATTGTGAAAATACCATACAGAGGAGTTACAGTTACATGGGCAAGGTAATGAGTACATTTCTTATCAAGCATTGTTGCCTCCTCCTTTGTTTCCCCTTCCTATCCATTCCCATTCCCTCCCCCCTCCCACCCACAGTAAAAAGTTCTTATAACTCAATAAAAATGAAAACATTACAACGGAACCTCTGAGATACAGCAAAAGCAGTGCTGAAGGGAAAGTTTATAGCCCTAAGCACACACATAAAGAAAACAGAAACAGCTCAAGTAAACTTCATGATACAATTAAAGCTGCTAGAAAAGCAAGAAAAATTAAATCTAAAGCTAGTAGATGGCGAGAAACAGCAAAGATTAGGGCAGAAATCAATGAGATAGAAATTTAAAAACTACATAAAATTAATGACGCAAAAAGCTGGTTTTTTTAAAAAAATTAATAAAATTGACAGACCACTTGTGAGATTAATAGAAAAAAGAAGAGAGGCAATTCAAATCAATAAGATTAGAGACACCATGGGAAAACTATAACAAACATCCAAGAAACACAAATGATTATAAAGAACTCCTTCCAAAAATCTATACTCACTAAAGAAAAACCTAGCAGAAATGGAAGAACTTCAAGAAACATACAAACTGCCCAACCTGAACCAAGAAGATATGTCAACTAAATAAACCAATAGAAGAAGTCATCAGAAGTCTTCCAACAAGGGAAAGCCCAGGCCCAGATGGAGTCACCACTGAATTCTCTAAGACTTTTAAAGATGAACTAATACCAGTACTCCTCAAGCTTTTCCATGAAATAGAAGCAGAGGGGGGCAATCCCAAACTCATTCTATGAAGCCAATATCACACATTCCAAAACCAGGTAAGTATCCAACAAAAAAAAATAGAACTATAGACCAAAGTCTCTGATGAACACAGATGCAAAGCTCCTCAATAAAATATTAGCCAACAGAATGCAGAAACAAATTTTTAAAAATCATACATTTTGACCAAGTAGGCTTCATTCCACAGATGCAAGGCTAGTCTAACATATGCAAATCAATAAATGTAATTCACCACATCAACAGAGCTAAGGTCAAGAACTATTTGATCATTTCAATAGATGCAGAAAAAGCCAGATACAACATCCATCCATATTAAAAGCTCTGGAATAGAAGGAACATTGTTTAAAACAAAGCCATATACGACACATCAACAGCCAATATCATTCTAAATGGGGAAAAATTAAAATCATTTCCCCTAAAATCAGGAACAAGCAAGGATGCCCACTCTCTACACCCCTCTTCAACATAGTTCTGGAATTCTTAGCCAGAAATAAGGCAAGAAAAGGACATTAAAGGGATCCATATAGGGAAAGAAGAAATTAAACTATCGCACTGGGAAGGTGGCTCAGTGGTAGAGTGCTTGCCTTGTATGCATGAGGCCCTAGGTTCAATTCCTCAGCACCACATAAGCAGAAAAAGCCAGAAGTGGCACTGTGGCTCAAGTGATAGAGCTCTAGCCTTGAGCTAAAGAGCTGAGGGACAGTACCCAGGCCTAGAATTCAAGCCCCACCATTGATAAAGAAAAAAAAAAGAAATTAAACTATCTCTATTTGCAGATGATGCAATCTTATATCTGAGGGACCCAAAAACTCCACCCCCAAACTCATAGAACTAATTGACCAGTTTGGCAAAGTAGCAGGGTACAAAAATAACCCATGAAAATCAATAGCTTTTCTATACATCAACAGTGTACAAGCAGAAAGGGAAATCATGAAAACAACCCCATTTGCTATAGCCTTTAAAAAAAAAATCTAGAAGTTAACCTAACCAAAGATGTAAAAGATCTGTCTAGTGAAACCATAAAAATCTAACAAAAGAAATCAAAAGAGGACACCAGGAAATGGAAAGAACTACCATGTTCATGGATAGGTAGAATCAATATTGTGTACTGCCAAAAATTATATGCAAATTCAATACAAACCCCATTAAAATCCCAATGATGTTCTTTACTGAAATAGAGAAAACAATCAAAAAATTCATATGGAACAACAGAAAAACCTAGCCAAATCAATTCTAGGCAAAAGACGCAATGCAGGCAGTATTACAATACAAGATTTCAAGCTCTACTATAGAGCCATTAACAAAAAAGCTTGGTATTGGCACAAAAATAGACCAGAAGATCAATGAAACAGATTAGAAGTCCCAGAAATCAAACCACATACTTACAGTCATGATATTCCACGAAGGAGCCAAAGACATACAGTGGGAAAAACAGCCTCTTCAACTATTGGTGTTGGGGAAACTGGGCAGCCACATGCAGAAAACTAGAAGTGGATCCCTGCTTGTTACCATGCAGTAATATCAAGTCAAGATGGATTAAAGACCTCAACATGACCCAAAACTCTGAAACTACTGACAGAGTAGGAGAGACATTAGAGCTGATAGGCACAGGCAGGAACTTCCTGAAGAGAGTCTCAGGGGCACAACAGATAGGAGACAGACTCAATAAATGGAACTACATTAAAATAAAAAGTTTCTGCACAGCTAAAGACATAGCTACTAAACTAGAAAGACAGCATACCAATTGGGAAAAGATCTTTACCAGCAATATATCACACAGAGGCCTCATATCCAGTATATACAGGGAGCTCAAGAAACTAACCCCTCCCAAACCTAATAAACCAATCACTAAATGGGCTAAGGAGCTAAGGAGAGATTTCTCAGAAGGAGAGGTAAAAATGGTAAAGAAACACATGAGGAAATTCTCATCATCCTTGGCCATAAAGGAAATGCAAATCAAAACAATACTGCAGGCCCGGCGGGGGAGCGGGGAGAGGGAAGAGGGAAGCGAGGTGTGGGGAGCGGGTCCCGGGCGGGCCGCGGGACCCAGAAAAAGGCGAGAGGGGTGTCTGGGGGGGGGGGGGAGCCTCCTCGCCGGGACTCTCGGGAGGCCTGATGGAGTAAGAAGAAGGGTCGGCTGTGAATGTATGACGTTGAGTGCTTCAGATCTGATCACTATGGTACGGGAACGAAAATGCATATTGTGCCACATTGTGTACAGCTCCAAAAAGGATGGATCTTCTCCTGAACTCCCAAGTCTTGAAAGAAAAAATAAAAGAAGGAAAATTAAAGGAAAGAAAGAACGTTCTCAGGTTGACCAGCTGTTGAGTATTTCCTTGAGAGAGGAAGAGCTAAGCAAATCACTTCAGTGCATGGACAACAACCTTCTGCAGGCTCGAGCAGCCCTGCAGACAGCGTATGTGGAAGTTCAGCGGCTGCTCATGCTCAAGCAGCAGATAACTATGGAGATGAGTGCGCTGAGGACCCACCGAATACAGATTCTACAGGGATTACAAGAGACGTACGAACCTTCTGAGCAGCCAGACCAGGTTCCCTGTAGCCTCCCCAGAGAAGCAAGAAACAGATCTCAGACCACTGCGGATACCACGCTGTTGCCTAATCCCTTCTTCCCCCTTTTCCTGGAGGCAACTCCTTCCCATGTGTCTCCATCATCCACCAGAGCCTCTCTCCAACTAGCCACTTCTCCTGCTTTCCAGGCTCAGGGCAACATCCCTGCCCCAGATTCATCGGTTCAGATTAAACAAGAGCCCATGTCCCCAGAGCAAGAGGGGAGTGTGAATTCTGGGTCACAGGGCTCTGATTTCAGTGTGTCCAAGGAACTACTGCACACTCAGGGAGAGATGAGTGACAGTGGTCCAGTTCATCCAGTCCTCCCTGCAGGGCAGTGTGTTTCAGAGCTGACAGAAAGTGGCCATGAGCCCAACCAGGATCTGAACCTTTCTGTGGAACAAGGAAGTAGCAGAAGCCGAGCAAACTCTCCATCTTCTCAGTCCCCCGATCTTCCAAACCTGCATAGAGGTGAATTGTCAGCCAAGGGCCACAGTGGGTCTGAAGCCTGGAGCAGTTCTTTCCTGAGATCATCTTTGACTTCAGAAACCCCTGTGCAGAAGGAAGCTCACAGTGCAGCTGAGCAGCCCGAGCAGCAGGCAGAGTCCAGCCTGCCCTCTGCCGAGACCAGAGCAAACAAGAAGAAGAAGAAACTTCGGAAGAAGAAAACGCTCCGGGCTGCCCATATTCCGGAGAATAGCGACACGGAACAGGATGTGTTTATGGCTAAACCTGTAAGGAAAGTAAAAGCTGGGAAGTTCGCTAAAGGGGGCAAAGTAACAACCTCTACCTGGGAAGACAGCAGACCCCGCCCCGAGCAGGAGAGGGCAAGAGATGAGCAAGAGAGCTTCAGAGATGAGCAAGAGAGTGACTCGTCTCTGGAAGTCCTAGAAGTGCCTAATCCTCAGTTAGAAGTGGTAGCCATTGAATCGTCTGAATCTGGCGAGGAGAAGCCAGACAGCCCATCCAAAAAGGATACTTGGAACTTGGCTGAGCAAAACCCACTGGGAACTTCTCGCTCTGGGTGTGATGAAGTGAGCTCTACCAGTGAGATCGGCACTCCCTACAAGGATGGCGCCCCTGTGAGCGTGGCAGAAACTCAGACTGTGATCTCCTCCTTAAAAGGATCAAAAAACTCTTCAGAAATATCTTCAGAGCCAGGTGAGGATGATGAGCCTACAGAAGGAAGCTTCGAGGGCCACCAAGCAGCAGTGAATGCAATACAGATATTTGGAAACTTACTGTACACCTGTTCCGCGGATACAACCGTCCGGGTTTATAGTTTGGTGAGTCGGAAATGTACTGGTGTCTTTGAGGGCCATACTTCCAAAGTGAACTGCCTGCTGGTCACCCAGACCTCTGGGAAGAACGCAGCCCTTTACACCGGTTCCAGTGACCACACCATTCGCTGCTATAATGCTAAGACCCGAGAGTGCATGGAACACTTACAGCTGGAAGACCGAGTTCTCTGCCTTCATAGTAGGTGGCGAGTCCTCTACGCAGGCCTTGCAAATGGCACGGTGGTGACCTTCAACATAAAGAACAACAAGCGACTGGAGATCTTTGAGTGCCACGGCCCTCGGGCGGTCAGCTGCCTAGCCACAGCTCAGGAAGGGGCCCGGAAGCTGCTGGTTGTGGGCTCTTACGACTGCACCATCAGCGTACGCGACGCACGCAACGGGTTGCTCCTCCGAACTCTGGAGGGCCACAGCAAAACCATTCTCTGCATGAAGGTGGTGAATGACCTTGTGTTCAGCGGCTCTAGTGACCAGTCAGTCCATGCTCACAACATCCACACCGGGGAGCTCGTGCGCATCTATAAAGGCCACAACCATGCCGTCACCGTGGTCAACATCCTGGGGAAGGTGATGGTGACAGCCTGCCTGGACAAGTTTGTTCGAGTCTATGAACTTCAGTCCCATGATCGGCTGCAAGTCTATGGAGGACACAAAGACATGATTATGTGTATGACCATCCATAAGAGCATGATTTATATGGGCTGTTATGATGGTAGTATTCAGGCTGTGAGGCTAAATCTGATGCAGAATTACCGCTGTTGGTGGCATGGCTGCTCTCTGATATTTGGGGTCGTAGATCACTTAAAACAACACCTGCTGACTGACCACACGAATCCGAACTTCCAGACTCTGAAATGCCGCTGGAAGAATTGTGACGCATTTTTCACTGCTCGGAAAGGATCCAAGCAGGATGCTGCTGGACACATCGAACGACATGCTGACGATGACAGCAGAATTGATTCATGAAGTTTGTTGCCTCCCATGTTGGGAAGTCACTAGTAGAACTATTTCGTTGTGGCCTCTTCACACAGACCACTCCCTCTCCTTCCCCCGGAAGCGGGGAAGGAAAAAGCCAGGCTTACCAACTAGCAAAAGCCTGCGCAGCTCTGTGAGGTCAGAGGTCACATTTCAAGTTTGTGCAGGAGGGTGCAATGACATTGAAACAGATTTTTTTAAAGGATACCTATACTCCTCTGAGACATAGAGTGATTCATGCGACAAGCATTCTTTCCATGTTTATTAAAACTCCAGATCTTAATTGGTTACCTAAAAAACAAAAACAAAAACAAAAACAAAAAAACAATACTGCAGTTAGACTGGCCACATTCTGAATTCAGACAACAAACAAACGATGGCAAGGATGTGCACTGCTGGTGGGAATGTAAACTAATACAACCACTCCAGAAAGCACTCTAAACATAGACCTTTCCTACAACCCAACCATACACTGTAGGCATCTACTTGAGCATCATGAACTAGGATATATGACAAGGACACCTGCACATCCATGTTCATTGCTGCACTATTCACCACAGCGAAAATATGGAAATAACACAAGATATGGAAACAACACCCCACAATAGATGAATGGGTCCAAAAAGTATGGTACCTATATACAATGGAATTTTACACAGCCATTAAAAAGAATAAAATAATGGCATTTGTAGGGAAATGGATGGAACTAGAATATATCATGTTGAGCAAGGTAAGCCAAGATCAGAGAGACAAATGTCACATGTCTCTCTGATGATCGGATTTAAAATGAAACAGAATATCACAAAGTATACAAGATTCTAAACACACATACACAGTGAGACCAAAAGAGGATAGTATAAGGAGAAAAGCACCGAGTTGTAATACCCAAGCACCTCTTCATATGCAAATAAAATAATACATACACTGAAATGAACTCCAAAAATAAGGAAACAAAGGACCTTTTCTTGTCTTTTCATTTCTAGATGACTCTGTTCTTTACCTCATATATGGTGTATATATGTGCACATCTGAGGGAAGGAGTGGGGAGGGAAGGCACAGACAGAATCAGTGGGAAATGGGTAAAATGTGCAGCAGTAGAACCCACAGGCTGCACTGGATATTGATGAAAGTGAACCAAGCAATTCATGGGCAGAGATAGCAGAAAGGGAATGAGAGAGAATGAGGGAACAGATGTACTAAGTGAAAGGAAAGAAATGTACTTAATACCTGATGTATGTAAAGGTAACCCTGCTGTGTATCACCTCTAACAATAAGTAATTTTAAAAAAGGAATAGGAGAGTGAAGGTGATATACAAAGAAATCACAGGTTCTCATGACCTTGGGGAGAGGCTTGAGGGTACTTGCTAACAGTGCTAGCAAGAGGTTTTAAAAATGAAGCTGGAAAAAAATTATTTGACCTTGAGGAAAGAATTTTTAAATGTCATAAAAATTGCTTTTGAAAAAGCAGGTTAGCTCTGTTTTCACTGTATTTGATTCCGGTGCCCTGCATCTTGGATATAGATTTTTCTAATTTGGGGAGGGGAAGGGAAATAACAAAATGCTTAAATAAGGATACAAGTTGACCCATTGTAACAATGAGATGTACAAGACACTATGTTGACAACAAATTTTACAACTTCAGGAGGAGGGGTGGGGAGGAGGAGTCGGGGAGGTGTGGAGGGAAGGGATGGTAGGAGAAAAACAAAGGTAACAATGATAGGAAATGTACTCATTTCCTTATGTAACTAACCCTTCTGTACAGTATCTTTACAATAAAAATACATACAAAAAAAGCAGGTTAGAATATAAATATTTGGTTATTATCATTTTGGAGGAAGTATGTTGTGAAGTATGATAGTTTCCCATTAGATTTGATTATTGTGGGTATCTTTGCATGCAAAAGCCATTTTCATGTATTAGAAATATCAGATTATTTTTACTCACTGCATTGTATGATGTTAGGTTTTTGGCAGTTTCCTTAAATTCTGTAACATCTATCGTTGGTTAAGAATCTGGCACTGGACAGCTTTGAGGTTAAGAAAGGAAGTAGTATATGACCAGATAGAATTTTATCTGTATAAAATCCTTATCTATTTCTAGCTTTAGCAAGTTTGCTAGATTTAATCCCCTCTATTTTTTTCTTTTCAAACCATTTTTTATTATTTTATTGTAAAGGTGATATACAAAGGGGTTATAATTACATAAGTAAGGTAATGAATACAATTCTTTTTTTTTTTTTTTTGGTCGGTCATGGGGCTTGAACTCTGGGCCTGGGCGCTGTCCCTCAGCTCTTCAACTCAAGGCTATCACTCTACCACTTGAGCCACAGCGCCACTTCTGGCATTTTCTGCTTATGTGGTGCTGAGGAATCAAACCCAAGGCCTCATGCATGCAAGGCAAGCACTCTCCCACTGAGCAAATTCTCACCCCTATGTTTAGTCTTTTTTTTTTCTTTTCTTTTTTTTTTTTTTGTCAGTTGTGGAGCTTGAACTCTGAGCCTGGGTGCTGTCCCTTAGCTCTTCAGCTCAAGGCAAGCATTCTGCTGCTTGAGCCATAGCTCCACTTCAAGATTTCTAGTAATTTATTGGAGATCAGAGTCTCCCAGTCTTGGGGCTGGGAAGGTGGCTCAGTGGTAGAGCGCTTGCCTTGCATGCCTGAGGCCCTGGGTTCGATTCCTCAGCACCACATAAGCAAAAAAGAAAAAAGCCGGGAGTGGCACTATGGTTCATGTGGTAGAGCGCTAGCCTTGAGCTGAAGAGCTGAGGGACAGTGCCCAGGCCCAGAGTTCAAGCCCCATGACCGGACCCGCCCCCCCCCCCCCCAAAAAAAAAAGAGTCTCCTAGTCTTTATTGCCCAGGCTGGCTTTGAACCATGATCTTCAGATCTCAGCCAGGATTACAGGCATAAGCCACCAGTGCCCAGCCTATGTTTAGTCTTTTGAGGAACCTCCATACTGCTTTCCAGAGTGGTTGAAACAGTTTACATTCCCACCAACACTGTGATAGTCTTCCCTTTTAGCCACATCCCGCCAGCATCTGTTACTATTTGTTTTCTTGAAAATGGCCATTCTACCTTTGATAAAATTCAACATTCATTCATGCTAAAAGCTCTGGAGAAAATAGGGATAGAAGGAACATTTCTTAAAACAATAAAAGCCATTTACGACAGACCAATAGCCAATATTATACTTAATGGGAAAAAGCTACAACCAATTCTCTTAAAATCAGGAACAAGGCAAGGATGCCCACTGTCTCCACTCCTCTTCAATATAGTCCTGGAACCCTTAGCCAGGGCAATAAGGCAAGAAAAAGACATTAAAGGGATCCACATAGGGAAAGAAGAAGTTAAACTATCCCTTTTTGTAGATGACATGATACTATACCTTCACGATCCCAAAAACTCCATCCCCAAACTCTTAGAAATCATAAATCACTTCGGCAAAATAGCAGGATACAAAATCAACCCACAAAAATCAGTTGCCTTCCTGTACACTGACAATGTACAAGCAGAAAGAGAAATAAGGGAAGCAACCCCATTCACAATAACCTTCCAAAAAATAAAATATTTAGGAATTAACCTAACCAAAGATGTAAAAGAACTATTTAATGAAAACTATAGAAACTTAAAGAAATTACAGAAGATAATAGGAAATGGAAAGACCTCCCATGCTCTTGGATAGGCAGACTTAATATAGTGAAAATGGCAATACTGCCAAAATTAATATACAAATTCAATGCAATTCCTATTAAAATCCCAATGACGTACATCTCTGAAATACAGAAAACAGTCCAAAAATTCATATGGAACAAAAAAAGACCTAGAATAGCCAAAACAATTCTAGGGAATAAAGACAACATGGGAGGGATATCCATGCCAAACTTCAAACTCTACTATAGAGCTATAATAACAAAGACAGCATGGTACTGACACAAAAACAGACTTGAAGAACAGGAATAGAATAGAAGATCCAGAAATAAATCCACAGGCCTACAGTCAGCTGATATTTGACAAAGGAGCCAAAGACATACAATGAAAGAAACACAGCCTCTTCAACCACTGGTGCTGGGAAAACTGGGCGGCCACATGCAGAAAACTAAAAGTGGACCCCAGCCTATCAGGATGCACCAACATCAACTCAAAATGGATTAAAGACCTTAACATTAAACCTGAATCCTGAAATTACTGCAGGACAAAGTAGGAGAGACTCTTGAACTTATAGGCACAGGAAGGAACTTCCTGAACAGAGTCCCAGGGTCACAACAAATTGGAGATAGACTTGGCAAATGGGACTACCTTAAAATAAAAAGCTTCTGCATAGCTAAAGCTATTACAACCAAGCTAGAAAGACAACCAACTAATTGGGAAAAAATATTTAACAGCAATATATCAGACAAGGGGTTAATATCCAGTATATACAGGGAACTCAAGAAACTAATCCCTTCCAAACCTAACAAACCAATTACTAAATGGGCAAAGGAACTAAAGAGAGACTTCTCAGATGAAGAGATAAAAATGGCAAAAAAAAAAAAAAAACACATGAGAAAATGTTCACCATCCCTGGTTGTGAAGTAAATGCAAATAAAGACAATCCTGAGATACCACCTTACCCCAGTCAGAATGTCCCACATCCACAAGTCAGCCAACGACAAATGCTGGAGGGGATGCAGAAAACCCTATCACACTGCTGGTGGGAATGTACACTTATACAACCACTTTGGAAAGCAGTCTGGAGGGTCGTCAGAAAGCTCAATATTGACCTCCCTTATGACCCAGTCATACCACTCATACCACTTCTAGGCATCTATCCTGAACAACAGGAACCAATATACAAGGACACATGCACCTCCCTGTTTATTGCAGCACTGTTCACAATAGCTAGAATATGGAAACAACCCAGATGTCCCACCACAGATGAATGGATCCAAAAATTGTGGTATCTAGACACGATGGAATATTATGCAGCCATTAGAAATGACAAAATAGGGCTAGGAAGGTGGCTCAGTGGTAGAGTGCTTGCCTTGCATGCACGGCCCTGGGTTCAATTCCTCAGCACCACATAAGCAAAAAGGAAAAAGCCGAAAGTGGCGCTGTGGCTCAAGTGGTAGAGCGATAACCTTGAGCTGAAGAGCTGAGGGACAGCGCCTAGGCCCAGAGTTCAGGCCCCACGACCGGACCCCCCCTCCAAAAAAAAAAAAAGACAAAATAATGACATTTGCAGGGAAATGGATGGAGCTAGAAGAAATCATGTTGAGCGAGGTAAGCCAAGAGCAAAGAGACAAACAGTACAT